TCATTCAATTACGAAATTGCTAATTTGTTAGACGGACTTGAGTGCCTCCACCGGACTCTGTTCATTGTGTAATTAACTCTGAAATCAGTCGAAAGGAGTTTGTTCGGTATTAAGCCTGTTTAGAGATGGTGAACATGCATAAAAGAACATGCATTTAGTACTTTTGTGGGTTGCATGAGCAATTTATCGTTCAATAGCAAACTAAAGAGAAGGACGCGAAAATTGTTAAGGGGTTTTAAATATTGTACTTCGCCTGACTATGTAATTCTTATTGTGTACATTATATTTATATTTGAATAATAAATATCCACTTATTTATTTGAAGAAATTACTTAGAGCAAGACATACAATCTTTAGCCTGTTCCAATTACTCTTGTGTATATATACAATATAAACAAATAAATGCTAGAAATCTTTCAATTTCATCTCTCTTATTTATAAATTAGATAATAATATATAATACAAATGTCAAGGCTAATTTCCCTCAGTGTATGTAGCAAAACACTGTCCACTTTCAGTTCACTGTCTGCAATTTAGTCAGACCAGTGTTCCAGCATCATTCGCATTCCAGACAGCCTGATCCCTCTACAGGGTGCATGGCACGCAGTGCAGTTAGCCTAATTTGGTCCATCTTTTCTGGTCTGGTCTGCTCTGGTCTGCTCGTAAACTGACTGTCCATTTCTGTTGCCTATGTCGTCGAATAATGCAGCCAAAAGCAGTGTAAAGTTTTTGTTCTGAGCCGAAAGGAATTGGCCATAGCCACTTGGAGAAGTACCCTCTCCCCCGAGCTGTCTCCCGCCTGCATAGATCTTTTGATTTAAATTCGTAACCAGGCTGTATGCAGAACACTTGAGCGCACAATTAGAGAGAAATGTCTGCGCTGTTCTGCGTCGCAGTGAGTGCCGCAGCATCGCTGCTGCAGTTGCTCTCTTTTGTGGACGGGGCTTTGTTCTGTTGCTGCAGCAGTTGTGTTTGACAATTCAATTTGTAGTCGAGCTATCCGTATCCCAATCGCACTCTCAGCTGCAGGCTGCATTTAAATTTGAATTATTTGCTGATTTTTTGGCAAACTTCATTGCATCGTCTGCTGTTGCATCAGCGACGACAATTTCTGTTGCTGCTCTTACATTATGCATTGATTTGCATCAGCAGCTTTTTCTTTTTATCTGCTGACGATATAGGCCAAATGCGATTAAGCCACGGCTTACTGCTCTAGCTGCTTCAGTTAAGCTGCCAACAATTTGGCCATTGTCAACGCCTGCTCACAACCCTGCAATTTATTGCTATTGGCTTTAATGTTATTGGCTCCTAAAGTTGCTCTATTAATGTTCATCCTCAACTATGTTGTCTCTTTTATTTAGTTCCAGTGCCCGATACAACAAGTGGCCCATAAATACGTTGTAAAGGCACCCGAGAGACGCATTTAACTGCGACCCCAACTGGTAAAACTCTTTAAATAAATTTTAAATATATATTAAGCATAAATATTCTCGCATGAGTTGTTTAGACAACTACTAAACTATGTATTTTATTAAACTATTAAAAATCAATCAGTTTTTATTTCAGGTGGACCGTTTGTTGCAGAACCATTTCTTATTATTTTATATTAATATTAGCTAGTGCTCCTTCCATTAAATATTTAACAAACTATTCGAGCTCGCTTAATAAAGCCATTAAAGTATTTACTATACAGAGTTAGCACTCGTTGTGTAACTTAAGCAAAAGGACATTAATTCGGTTTGAGCACTGATTTTATTTCAATCAACAACGGAATATCAATCTTCATTTATTCGAAATGATTAACTTTTGTTTAGAATTTTGTGTTTAGGCGGTCAAGAAACGATTTACAAGCAACCCGAATGTCATTATATTTAAATCAACAATTGTGCGTATATTAAGCTTATACAGTAGAAAAACTGTGTTTTTTTAAAGGCCTTACATTTTGGGTACATAATTATGATAATAATTTATAAAAAAAATACGTTTGCTCTCTCATTTATTTTTTAAAATTATATTGAGAATAAAAACTTGCTTCTCATACAAAATCAGTAAAAATAACAATAATAGAGTTTTATTTAAGCATTGACTTTATTATTAAGTCACCCGCTCACACAGGAACACAAAACAAACTCTTTTTTATAACAACCGCAAGCAAACTTTTTTTTCTTTTAGATATTTGCACTTATAATTTCATTAAACTGTCTTTAAGTCAAATCTTCACATAGCTGAAACTTAACTGGAATTTTGACTCAAACTGCACTGAGCCAAAGAAGTTAAATGGCCATCGGAGGTTTTAGGTAGCGTCGGCGATATTCGACTTAAATAAATGAAGCCATCATTAAACAAAGGAAAATGTTGCTTTCAACTTGGCCAAACAGTTGGCATAAAAACTTGCTGGTTTTAACCTTGGCGTACACTTGATGCAATTTTTAATGCAAAACTTTGCTCGTGTCGCTGCAGTCGGAACGAAAAACAGTTTCAATTTTAAAGTTTTGCGCATAAATTTGAGCAGTAAAATAAAAATACAAGTAAAAGGAATGCAACAAAGTTTTCGCTTCCGTTTCCGAACTGGAGGCCTAGTCCGCTGTTAACATGACTCTCAATTTCCATTTTGCTCGCGTTTATGATCAGACCGGATCAGAAATAGAATGTTTCAATATATAAATATGTATATAATATATTGACTAAAACTTCTGCTGTTAACTTAAGCAATTTCGTAATAGGCGGCCCCATTTTTAGGTCCGGGGTCAGAATTCACCTCGGCCAGTGCCAGGAGAGCCACAGTTATCACAAGAGAGAGCAAATCGCCTTGTGTGGGCGTCGGACGCCTAGCAACATGCTGCCGCACCTTTGGCAACATGTTGCCAAAGCTGCGAAACAATGTAAAGTTGACAATCTATAGATTAAAGTGGAAGGTTTTAAGTTGGATGTTGTATGCATTTGGCCAAGAACTCAACTCATAAACTTCGACGCGCAGAAACTTTCTTTCATTCGAAATGCTTGAGAGCGCTTCACTCTTCATACAAAGTGGTTTGGGCCATGCCCCCTCAACAGAAACTCTGCCCCTGGGGCTCCATTTCGGCAAGCGAAATTTTGATACATCAGCTATGCATACGGTGATGGGGGCCGCTTGGCAGACAAAGGTGAGTAATGGCGCCCATGCCACAGCAACGCAGCTGATTTTGTGTGCGTTGTTCTAGGGACACGCATTTGCATTTTGTACAAACACCTTTTGCCCCGGCCTCGCACCAACCCCGACCCTTGCCTAGGTCCCGGACCCAGCTCCGGCTCCGGATTCAGCATGTGAATGGCAGCTGGCTTCGTTCGATTGATTTATAAGCAGCTGTGTGTCTAACCAATAAAATGTTGCTGACTAACAAGACGCCAGTTAAATGTTTAAGCAAATAACTGTTAGCCAAAAGCGACTACGCAATGGCCTGTAGAAACGAAACACTGGAGCTCATATCAAAAATTATACTCAATTTCAGCCAACCAAGTATTAAAGCTTTGATTAACTATTCAAAGGGATTCATGAAATTTTTCCAGCACTTTTTGCTTACCTTTTGTTGCCATACTTTTTCACACGTTTCGTTACAGATTGCGCTATTTTATATTACCAATTTCTACTTTGACTTTCTATATGGCTTGGTCAATTAAATATGCGCAGGCTGCTGAGACTGAGGCCTTTGCTGCTATAAGCAAATATGCCAAAAATTAGCCGGAAGGCTTGAATTGCCAGAATAGAAGCAGGCTCTGCTGTCCGCACATGGATTCCCCCACTTTTAGCCAGCAGCATTTCCAAAATACCAACTACAAAACACAAACGCACACACTCATAAACACACACACAAACACTTTTTATACACACCCACTTGTAGAAGATTTCGAAAATATCTTTCATGTGTGCGCCGTTTGCTTTGTAAATCGACAAAATTGGCATCTGGGCATTGGCCACAGCGAAAAACAATTTATGTGTGCTCCACGTTCATTGAGTCATTGAGCAAAGCTGTAGATATCTGAGCTTTTTTTTTGCAAAAAACTGTACAACCTTATCTACGCTGCTTTTCTCAAAAAATTCTTCACTTTTCTCAACAAAAACTGTTTTATGTTTGCATTTAGAGTCGCATTTTGTCAAAATTACGTTTTTTTTTATCGAAACCCCAACAATAGACCGATGGCAAGCCAAATACAATGAATAATGAACATTTATAAATTAAAGTCTTTTATAAATTTTAACACTGGATCGTAAAATTATCTTCAAAAAGCCTTAAGCCACTGGGCCGAGTTTTTTTAAGACTTCACATAAGAGCAATGAAATACCATCTATAAATGGAGATGGCTGTGATATCTCTAAATCTCCTCAGATTCGTCGAAAGCTTGATACGATAAGAAGATCAATTTAATTAGCCGCGTTAAATTGAATAAGAGGGTATCAAAGAAAATACCCCCACATCTAGCGAATATGTAATGGGTATATTCATTTAACTGCCTCAGCTTTTATTTTCAATATTTTTCAATTCTCTATCGGAGGGACACAATTGTGACTCTTCGCAATAGTTATTGAACTAAGTAATTAAAGTGCACATGGGTGGAGCAGGATATAATTGATTAAATACAAAACAGATTAATAATGAGTATTCAATCATTAATACAAATCCACGTAAGTTGAAATTTCTTTATATCATTTGTGGATTTCTAAAAATTATTATGAAATATTTATTAAACGTATGCGAAAGTAGCACGAACCAAGAGAAATATAATTACCTTGAGTTTTATTGCTTACATCTAAACACAATTAAATTAGGATCAAATAATTATAATTATATTTACATAGTCTCAGTAATGACGATCATACATTCAATTAGATTTAATTACTTATATATTATCTTACAATTATATGAACATAATAATATAACATATACGAAAAACTAACAGAAACAAATGACATTCGATGTGCCCTATTTTATCTTAACTTTGGTTAGTATTTACGCAGATGAGCGTTCCGACATCTGGGAATAACTGGAAATAAACGATAATAAAACATACAAGCTTTAGAAATTCCGTCAAGTTGGCATAATACATTATTTATATAAATTAGTTATTGATTTACTTTGCTTTAAACTTTTAAATTTTTTCAAATTCTTAGAAGTGTAACTTGAGCAAAAAGAATTTGTGTAACCTAACTATAAAAATTAGCAGTTATGTCAATCGGCATCAATGGCTTTGGCCGCATAGGCCGCTTGTTCCTACGGGAGGCAATCAGGCGACAAGATGTACAAGTGGTGGCAATTAACGATCCAGCCATGGAGCCCAAATATATGGCTTATATGCTACGTTTCGACACGACGCATGGCCCGTTCAAGAAGAAGATTACCATCGATGGAAAGACTCTGATGGTAAATGGTCTAAAGATAAACGTCACTAACGAAGCGGATCCGAAAAAAATAAACTGGAAAGAAAATTCAGTCGATACGGTGGTTGAATGTACTGGTCGATTTACCACACTGGCAACGGCCAAGGTGCATCTAGACGCCGGTGCAAAGAAAGTGGTAATCTCTGCACCGTCGTCGGATGCGCCAATGTTTGTGTGCGGCGTTAATTTAGACCAGTACAAGCCAAACATGAAGATCATATCTAATGCCTCTTGTACTACCAACTGCCTGGCACCGGTGGCCAAAGTGGTGCATGATAATTTTGAAATTGTGGAAGGCTTGATGACAACAGTCCATGCCTGCACAGCCACGCAAAAGATTTTAGACGGACCAAGTGCTAAGGCGTGGCGCGATGGTCGCAGCGGAATGTGCAACATAATCCCCGCAAGCACAGGAGCTGCCAAGGCTGTGGGGAAGGTAATACCTTCCTTGAATGGTAAACTAACCGGTATGGCTTTTCGTGTGCCCACGGCAAATGTTTCCGTTGTCGACTTGACCTGCCGTTTGGGATGTTCAGCTAAAATGGAGCAGATCAAGGCGGCTATCAAGGAAGCTTCCAAGGGTGGAATGAAAGGCATATTGGGCTACACAGAAGACTCTGTCGTCTCATCAGACATGAATGGCTCACGCTATGCCTCAGTGTTTGATGCCAATGCGTGCATTGCACTTAATGATAATTTTGTAAAGCTGATTTCATGGTATGACAATGAGACAGGCTACTCGTGTCGTTTACTCGATTTAGTTTTATATTCGCAAAAGATGGACAAATGCTAATAAAAGTAAATGCAAGAACTTTTAGAGTCGAATAGAATAACTATTTAGAAAAAATATTGGTAAATGGATCGAAGTAATTTACCTTCAAACAACACTCGAGTTGCGCTGCAGCTGCACCGACGAGATGCTCATTATTTCATGCTCCGCAATGCTGGTGTTCGCATCGCCATGAGGCTGCTCCGCTGCTGTCTCAACCACAATATCATCTAGTGTGGGTGTCTTTATACGGTTCCGGATTATAAGATCTCGCTCGGCAGGTGCTTGCAAGTGCAGCGGATTGGTGGCCAGCTCAGCAGCCACCAGTTCATCGCCCTGCAGTCCCAGCGTCATGTTCACTTTGGCATGCTGACCAGCTGCAAGCTCGTTCTGTGGCTCCACGACGGGTGGCGGACGCAGCCGAGCTGGATCGAGCAACGAATGCATTTTCTGTTTACGCGGTGTACGTGCAGGTGAAGCCTTTCTAGAATTGTAGTTTTTCAGCTGCTTAGCACTATGAAAAAAGAAAAATATTGTTTTTATTTAAACGACAAACGCTTATTGAGCGGACTTACGCTTCCAGTAGTTTCAGGAGCATATGATGATACGTCTCGTATTCGTCCTTTCCAAATTCGTTTGGATCGTGGCGCGCGTGCTCATATGTGTCGCAGAACTGATGTATTATGCGCTGCCCAGTACCATTAAGCGTAACGGAGAGGGTTGTCAACAGAAAGGCTCGCAAGCTTTCATGGGCGTGACGTATGCTGCCATCCGCACGCGCTATCTCTGCCTCTACCAATTTAACATCGTCCACGGCCTTCATTCGATAGTAATAGGGTGGCAGTTCCTGCTCCGTGCCTGGCTGCAATATATACTTGTCGGTATCGGTCCATAGCAACTTTGGCTCCTGTGCTATCTTTTGTATGCAGTCCAATCTGCGTTCAATTTCACGGCGCAACGCCTTCTTGGCATCATTGCCTACTGGCACATGGGGACCGCGACGACTACGGAGCGTGAACCGCATTATCTGGCGTTTGGCAAATATGAAGAGCATCACAAAAGTCAGTACGCCACCGCCTATGATAATTATTATCATAACACCCGAAAGCTGTTCCATTTTTGCGGGCGTTTCGTATTTTTCACAAGAGAACTTCTTTTGTTTAGATTTGGTCTATTTTGTATTCAACCTAATCGATTTATTTATGTTTTACAACCTTACATTAAATTATCGATGTTCGTGAATGAATTGTAATAGGACGATGTTTTCCAATTCATTTTTTATTCTGTAATTTTTGAAAAACAATAAACTGATTTCCTGATAACGCACTCGCAGACCACATCTCAACGGAGAAGAGACAAATGCAGCAATAACTGATTAAAACTATCCTCTCCATATTTATATTTTGGCGCACTTATTTGCTTTATTTAAAGCATAAAAATACATTAAATTGCAGACTATATTATATTATATACTTGAAATTTTAATGAGTCTTTTATTTATATTTATATTTATTTTCTAAAAGCGTACCGTCTCCGCAAAATATATTGGAAGATATTAATCTTTATTTTCATACGATACGTAGAGAAAAATAATCGATATATTATGGCCGTTCTCGATAAATTCGCGTACCAGCATGTGTGCCCGCAAAATCGGATTTAAACATTTATTAAATTTAGTTTATAAGCAAAGTGCAATTACTTTCGGTTGTCATTTCCTGATTAACATGATCACCTATAAAGAATATCTAAAAACTAATCCAATCCTAAGACAGTCTCTTTGGCATATAATAATAAAAATAGCGTGCACATACATACACATACATATAAATGCCGGACAAATATATATATATATAAATATATACATAGTTAATGTTCAAGTCCAAGGAAAGTTGTTAGCGAAGAGAATCGTGCCGCAAGCACAATACGTGGTGCACCAGATAAATAGAGCTCCAGCCTTTGAGCGGAACGAGAGTTGCGCCAGCGACTTTGGCATATGATCAGCAGCAAACCAATAAAAAATGGGCGTAGCCGAGGCCAACAAACGCGTAGACACTTGAATATTCACAAACAAGGCACAGACGAGGGTCAAAAAGGCGCCATGCAGCACAAATGGTAGCGACTTTTGTGTCTTGAACAACTCCCGCCAGCTTGAAGCCTGAGGCGTCAATTTTGTGGCCAAAAACCAAAGATAATCGCAGCAATGCCAGTGCATAAAGACTAACATGGGCATTGCGAGCAAAAAGTTGGGCAACTGTTTCCATTGATAGTAGCGTAAGAAGCCGACATCCCAATACGTAGATTGCACATAATTGTAGGGGAATGGCAAAGTATACTGGCACCAAGGCGATCCCTCCGGTCCCCTTCCGGCAAGCAGATAGTTCCTCTCGTTGGCGTAATGCACTACCTGCTCAGGGTGCTTCACTCTAGTGCTGGGCATACAGTACATTCGGTATATGTAAAAGTAATAGGCATGCAAGACGCCTAATGGGATGATTATTGCCAGTGACATCCTGATGAGCTGCTTGCAGCGTTTCACGTTTGCAGTGAGTATCAAATGGCGCGCAAAGAAATACAGGGGAAAGCCGACGGCGATAAGTCCATTGGAGCGGCACATGATGCAGGCGGTCAAGCTGACACAAATGCGCACAAAGTTATACTGTTGCTTTGGCCGCACACATTCCAGCATCAGAATGAAGCTGGCGTAGGCGAACAGCGACTCCGAGTAGGCAGCACTGAAGAAAATGCTCGCCGGATTGAAGCAAAAAATTAGTGCTGCATTCCAACTCTTGTGTAGATCGTTAAAGACACGCTGCGTCAGCTGATATAGGTAATTGGCCGCCTCGCAGAAGAACCACAAGTTAAGAACGACAGCGATTAACAGCATTAGGACGTGCTGCGACATGGGCACATTTAAGGTCTCACAAACCATGGCCACATTCCGTATGAGCACCGGATACAGTGGATAAAAGGCCAGCGTATTCTCGTAGGTATACAAATAGTAGGCTATATGCAGAAAGTATTCGCCATCCCAGTGCCTCAAACCGCCTAAGCAGGTCGTCACAAGTGTGTCCAGACCATGTGCAGGCACCGTGGCATTCACTATGGGCATTGGCATGCGAAATACATCCGGCTTATGATCCGGCACAACCCAATTGGCCAACATTTGGACAGCCAGGACGATGAGGCGACTCGTTAGTGCAAGCTTCGTTACTTTAAGCGTCATCTTTGTCTGTTGGTGAATGGAGTTGTTGTGAATCACATGCTACATATGCCAATTTTTTCACCTCACTTACTCACCTACTTATATAAATACATACATATATTGATATATATAAATATATGTATATGTTTATTAGTGTAAATGTAGTCGCTGCAGTTGGAATATTTAATAAATGTTTTCCTTTGCTTACAGCATTTGTATTGCACAGCAATAGGTGTTCTGTTTCTGGAGTGAAAATAGAGTCTTGATGAGACTCTCTAAATGTGGGTTGACATTAAACTGGCCGACTAGTCAGTTTAATTTATATGTTATTAAAAATTAAACAAATTTGTCAGAATGCTTCAGCGCCAACCAAACCCAGTGTGAAAATGCCAATTTGGTATTGTATGATTAGTGGTATTACCAAATGAACAGCTGCTAAATGCGATGAATCACTCTATTCACAAACGAGAGTGTATACACTGGTCACTGCTTATCGATAACAGAACTTTGAATACGTCGATTACCGGCGCGTGTTTTAAAAGTCTTACAGCAGGTGAAGTATTTTTTGAAGTGATGCCAATCTAATCGAAATAAATAAATGAATATATGTTACCAGTTTAGCCTATTGTAGAGCATTCAAGCTTTTATATGTATGCAACACTCTTCATTTGGTATTCATATGTCGTAAAAACGAAGTTAGAGTGCTTGCAGCAGTAGAGAGTACTCCCGTTGGCGCCGGGCTCAACATTTGAGCGCGATTTTGACATTGAGTAAAAGTCGTCCTATATAAAGTGCATCAGCTGCAGCAGTTGGACAATTCTATCAGTAAATTGATATGAACTGACATGAAGTCATCGTTCAGCTAAGCATTAAAGACTTAGCGACTTAGGGGAAATGAACGAAATACATAGAAGATATATTTTTCAGAAATATTTAGAAAATACGCTTAGAAGAAATATTTATAAGACATACTTAGGATAAATATTTAAAGAAAATAAGTACAGGAAACACTTATAGGAAATACTTTGAGAAAATAAATGGAAGCAGTATTTAACATTTGGAAGAAATACTCAGAGTAAACATGTACTTAGAGGATAATGACTTTTGCCAGAACAGAATTGGGGAAATTTGTATGAAATCAAGATTAAAGTTAATCAAAAGCTGTTTTTTTGCCCGCAATTTCGGCAGATAGCCTACTTTTATCCACAATTCAACTCAATTCATTGATCAACATCGTTAAAGTTAAAATAAAGTCTATAAATAATATAAATAAAACTTCTAGCGAAATCAATACACTTTTAAGAATATTTGAAAAAAAAATTGGTGAAAGACACAAGTGATATTTATACCCTGAACCCATTTTCAATGGGAAATCAGGGTACAATGGTTTTGTTGAAACGTATGTAACAGGGAGAAGGAGGCGTGGTAGACCCCACAAAGTATATATATTCTTGATCAGGGCGACGAGCTGAGTTGATTTGGCCCTGTCCGTCTGTCTGTCTGTCCGTATGTTTGAACGCGTCGATTTCCGAAGATATAAGAGCTAGAGACTTGTGCTTTGGCAATTACATGCATATCCATGTTATAATCATAATCTGAAAGTTTCATGAAGATCGTACGTCCACAAAAAAAGTTATTAAGCAATTAAATTCTCATAGTAAGCGCTCACTGCCGCCCATGCGTGTTTATGCTTGTGTGTGTACGTGTATGTAAATGTTTGTGTATGTGTGTGTGTATGTATGTGTGTGTATGTATGTGTGTGTATGTATGCCTGTGTGCGTGTGTGTGTGTGTGTGCGTATTTCTTGTGTAAGCTGAAAGACGCGAAAAATTATTGAAATAGCTATTACTCCAAGGGTTCAGGGGATCTCGTAGTCGAGCAGTCTCGACTAGAGCTTTCTTACTTGTTTTTACATGAATTTATTTGTTTTATTCAATTAATTTGTTTCATTTTTTCGCAATATATATCTGGGAGTTACATACTTATAATAATTTGATTCTAATCCCCTTCGGAATCAGATTCGATCTTTTCACTAACTTCCACCTCGTTGAACATGCTCATCAATTCCAATTCCTTGCGCTTAATGCGATCTTTGATGTTCGTTAGGGACTCGGCTTTCTGCACTTCGCGTGTAAAGAACTCATCCATCGTCTCGAATACACTGCTATATTCATGAGGCTCATAGTTGGCCAACGTCGGCATCGGTGGTTTTTTGGGCTTGCGTCTGGTTACATAAGTGCGCTCCATGTATTGCTTCAACTCGTCCAAATGCTGCTCCTCATCCTGCTCGTGAGGTGAAAATGTACGTATCATTGACTTATACGATTTCTTCTGCTCAGCCCGGGCCAGTTCGATTTCTTTCGCAAGCTCCGGGGAGGGCAGCAGCAGCTTTATATCTCCCACGAGCAGATCGCGATTCAGTATCTCCGCCTCATTCGTTTGCACGCCCATCTCTGACATTGGGTGTTTCGCCACCCTGGCGGAGTCGTGCTGTCCCTCCGTTAGGCTTTCCTTTTTCCCACCACCTGCCTTGCGCGGCATACCTTGCTTCGGTGTGGCATCTAAGCACTTTGTTTCGGCTCTCGGTGTTGCTGGCTTGCGAGGAACCGCTGCCTTTTGGGCCATTACTCTGCCACGATTGCTGGCTGAACGCAACGTTGACGCAATCGTTGGCTTCTCCAGCCGTGACGTCAGCTCCATGCGGCTTATGGTCGACACCTCTGTGGTTTTGGTTCTCTTCCAGGCAGCGGTGCCACCATCGCCATCACCGCCGATGCATCGACCTGCTTTCCCGGTCTTGTGTGGTGATAGTGGCGTCGCCAATCTGGTGCCACGCAACGTCTCATTTGTGGTCCGATTGTAATTCAATCTCGGTTGGGCCATGGCCATGGGCGTGGACATTGCAGTGGGCGTGGCCAATTTACCGCGCGCAGTCATATTGCAAATGTGAATGTCGATCGTTAGGCGCACAATCTTTGCGGATTCCTTGAATAATCTAGCAATTGCTTCACTTTATTATAATTTTAAGAGCTACGTGAATTTACTCGATTTCCTCGAACCATGTATACAGTATTTAAAAAAAAAAATGTTATGTGGCTCCTTTGCAACGAAATAAAATTATCTGAGTTTTGAAGCATTTACTTTCGCAAAGCCAGCTTCGTTTTTTACATGTGATCTATTTCACAAAACTGGATAATGTAATATAGTTACGAGCCTTTCGTATGCTCTTATGCATAAGCATTTTACACTTTTCTGATCCTGAATCTGTTTATATTTAGAACAATCATACTTAAGATATACATGTACATCACACTATTAGCTTCAATTACAACAAATAATCTATCATTGTTGTATCATACATACATTCCATTTACATGCTCATAAAAATAGATTACATCTTGGTTTGCTCAAAAAATATAGTTTATTACAGATTTCGGGTAACATAGAGCAGATTTCTTTCCATCTTTCTTACATTAAAAATACGAAATGGTTAATTATAAATGTCGGTTATTATCGGATAGTTCTGATATACTTTAATGTTGCAATCTTGTATCTTATCCTTTCATTCTTAAAGGGATGAATTAGTTTGGCAATAGAGCGCAAAATGAGCCACACACAATTCTTTATTTTAAAATTTCAAATTATAAATATCGAAAAAGAATCAATTTGTTAAGCAAATTAGCTTTGTCTTTTGTGAATATGTACATGGATGAAATTCATTGGGATTCATGCCCATGTACATATACATATATATATATATATGTAAAAGCACTATATACTCACACAAAATCGCAACTGACAAATTAACAGTGGGCATTCACAACGCCATTAATACTGTTAATCCATCCAATGCGAATTTGCTGTTTATATACTGAAAATTCGTTTTAAGTTTTTGCTGCATGAAATATGTTGCAACTGATGCAGACTGACCGACAGTATGCAGTCGATTGCAGCATGCGACATACAGCAAAAGTCTAAAGAGGATAACTCAGGAACTCGATTGTCCTGTGTAGTCCTCGTAGCTATGTTATTTCATGAAAAAACAACATAATCTTAATATATATATGCAATTATGATATAACACAAGTGCTTTTCTTCTTCTCCTTGGGCTGCGGCTGTGGCTGCGATCGTGGAGCTCCATTAGCCCAATCATAATAAGGCGGAGAGCGTCCTTGGTCGAAGAATGGCGGCGGAGATGTGTACTCCATTGGTAGTCGGACAGACTCGAAGTGCGAATTTACCGATGGTATGTAGCTATACTGATTGCAATGCGACAGACTTGGACTACCCGGTGGTGCACTAGGTGCGAATGCCACATCGATCGCCTCAACGCCGACCACATATTTACCATCAGTAGATGGCCGTGCCGTTTCGGTACGTGTTGGTGTTTTAGTCAGTTGTATTGGTTGGGCAGCCTTTGTCGCTGGTTTACTGGTAGCAGTCGCAGTGGGCGGACGGCTAATAGACATACGCTGCATGTCTGCTCGAATGGAGCGCACGGTTTCGGACTCATTGTCCACATAACGCGGCACGCTGGGTAGCTCATCGAACAGCTGGTCCAGATCCGATTTTTTGTGCTGCTGAGTCGCCTGGGCGCCCATTGACAGCAACTCGGCTTTATTGTAGCCAATCTTTGTAGCCGCCGACAAGGGCTTACTGCGTACATTAGCTGAATAAAAAAATAGAAGAAAATTGATACATTTAGAGGTATGATTTACACATTTCGTCGTTCACCAAAAGAAAGAAAAGAAACAACCCGAGATACGTGAACGCTATGAACGTGATAAGCAGGATAAGTGCGAAAATGAATTAGCCAAAGGAGCATATATCACGTGCATGATCAAAAGATGCGTATGCCAATTTATTATTAACATGGACTGCAAGAACTGCAATAGCTCCCCATTATCGGAATCGCTTGGTGCTTTACGCCAACAACCGAATCCCGGTGCAATATATTGCGAATGCATATATCTCTATGTGCATATATACATATATATCAAAAAATTATATATATATATTTATACATATATACATGTACACATATATTATATTATAAAGGATTTGTGGAATGTGATGTTAGATGTGGAATGGAATTGTTTACGCCGATCTTGAAAACTTCTAAAACGCATGCTATTGACACAATTTAGATCTGTGAATTTTTGGGTCGATTCAACTCGTTTTCAATCCATAAATACATATCTATATATAAATATATACTATACTTATATATACACACATATATATATCCATATATATATATGTATATAGATATGTACTATTATGGGATCATTCGAAATGCTAAAGATCCTGCATATGCATTTGTATATAGGCATTTATGATCACTATCACGATTTCTTTGGTTTCTTTGGTGATATTGATAATTATGACAACGATTATTATTACTTCGCTTGAATGAATGTGCCAGCGTGTCTTCAGCTGTTTCGTCCGTTTGTTGCTGCTGCCGATAATTAAGATTATTTTTTTTGCTATTGGTATTATGATTGTTGTTCGGATGGAAGTCAGAACGCGTCGGATTAACTGTTTGAGCCACACCGCCGTTCGCCTCATTCATCTTATTATCATCCGGATAATAGGGCGAGCCGACGAGCGTTTTTCGATCCCTGCACATGTCGATAATATGACGAAATTCCTGATTCTTGCTTAGCGTGCGCGGATTACCAATTAGGATAAGCAAAGACATGGGACGTGATAGCAAAACGTTCAAACGCTGAAAATGATCCAAAATTTATCAACATCTAATAATGTTCCTATAGTAATCATAGTCAAATTCAAACTCACTCGACTATTATTAAGAAATCCTAATTTTTCGGTGAATGAGCGCACAAAGGAAACAATTATTATTTGCTTCTCCTTGCCCTGAAACAGTTCAACCGAGCCACAATCAATTTGATGCCAGTTGCGCATGTTGAGCTGCTCCTGGATGCGCTGGTACTGATTCTTATATGGCGATATGATGCCAATATCCGTTTGGGCCAATTTATCACCATTGATGCCAAAGTACATTAGATCTTTCACATAGTCCATAACTGCATCGATTTCCTTATTGTTGCACAGACTGTCAAGCAGAAGAAAGCGATTATTTATATAGGAACTAGCTCAAATCGAGAGAAGCATACCTCAGCGAGCTTTGCGAATTCATCGTCGTGCCAAAAACCGAATGAAACAATATAGGGAAATGTTCGTTGGGCGAGTGAAACCAATTTCTAGCCATGCAAACGTTTTCTAAAAAAAAAAAACAAAAGCAAATATATTTTGTTAATATAAAAGTATTCGAGCACGTGAAAGAGTTAAGGACTAAAGACGATCACTAAGAATTGTTTGCTATCAGCTAGCTTTAATATCCTTTAACAAGGATTTTATAAACAATCGAAACTATTACCGGCACTACACTAATAGTTAGTCCGGTCAGATAGACTTACCGATTTCCGCCTCCGATGTCAGTTCGCTGTTGTAGTAGAGATCACTGTAGAGCTTAACAATTTCGGGATGGGAACGATAGTTACGCCGCAGTCGTGTCTGTACAACGGCGTTGTAATCACCGTTCTCGCCCAACCGGTAGCATTCGCGCTGGAGTAGACGCTCGAATAGAGATACGCCCAGACCCCAATCGCCGGCACGCTGCGATTGCAGTACCGGACCCAGCTGCTTATGATCGCCAGATAAAATAAGATTTGTTGCTGGGGCAACGGTACAGGTAATGCCCATTAGCACCTCCGCTTCGGTAGAGGCAGCAGCCTCATCGACGAAAACATGTGTGAATACGCTGCGTTTGTCTTCATCACGACCGAAGCCGCCCGTCGAAAGTTTGCCCGCCAGACTAAGGGTGCACACCACAATTCGATATTCGTGCACCGCCTGCACGTCCGGGTAAAAGTGTAGGGCGTACATATTCGAATACTCCAACAGCAAGTCATCAATATTATCGATGCGTCTATCGCAGCTGGCGGCAAAGATGCGCGTCAGAGGACGCGCTTGACTTGGCACCTTCGATATGGAGCGCAGTAGACGCAATGCGATCTCATCGCAGGCCGTATTGGAGCCGGCCAGGACCAGGATATGGGTCTCTGGTCGACGCACATACAGCTGGTAGATGGCCTCACAAATTGTAGCCGTTTTGCCAGTACCGGGCGGCCCAACGATAATGTAAGGAGCCGGCAGCTTATCACAAAATGTAATTTGCTGCACCGCCTGCTGTTGCTCCGGATTATGTCCAATATTCTCATTATACAAGCACAAAGCGCCGCTGGCTACCGGTTGTCGCATAATCGAAGGTGGGAACAGCAAACGGTCCACGTGCTCTGGATTGCTGAGCTTTAACTGACCTAGAGCCCGATATTGATATCGGAGAACGGCTCGCACGGGTCGAAAGAGCAGCGTATACGTAGTGTTGTCTAGCAAATGACGATCGCAGGTGATATTGACGCGTTGGGTCGAGACGCCCAGGATGCGAGCAAAATAGACGCGGGGCTCACGACGATCCTTTTCGGGTAGGCCAAACTGTTCGTTGACCTTCTGACCCCATTGAATGAGCGCATCGAAATCTTTGAGTGCTAATTCCAATATAAGGCCATTATTATCCAAAAGCTGTCTGATGCTGTTCGCTTTGCCCGTCTCTGACGGAGTAATCGTGCAACGCTCGTTGATGATAAGGACATCATCGCCAGGCGAGAGAATATCCTCGGCACTCAAGTTCCTGGAATTTGGCTGCAATTTAACGGACAACTCTTTGCCGAACTGATGCAGCTCCATTTTGGATTGCTTAAGGGCAACATAGCACTGCAGCCGCTCAATATCCTCCACTTGGAGAAGGGTGCGCAGCGTCTCATAAATATTGCTTTGCGTGAGCTCCCCCAATTCACAAAAGTTTCGATAATCCTTGTTGTATTCAGACAATCGAGCTTGGGCATCCTCCGCATTATGTTTCAGTGCGGTAACCACGGGCTTTGGTGGTATAGCCGGCTCTAGCCGACCGCCACGAAACAGCTTCTTGCTGGACAGCCGATAGGGATTCACATCGAAGCTGGCCTTAGGCAATGCATCGGTACGCATAAAGTGGTGCTGTTCCACATAATGATGGCGCTGCCCATTGACCAGCTGACTGTATCCAATTACAATCGGCTGTTCACGCAGTATCGTGAAGACGTGCGAGTCGACAAAGAAGATCAGTTGCCCACTTTCGGTCACCTCCAATGGCAATCGATTGTTGTAGACGTAATAAAACTGACGCGACTGCACAATGGTAAATTTCTCAATCACGATATCCTTTAGCTGCGTCTCCAGCGTAAAACCAAAATAATGACTATCTACGCAGGTTCTATACGAAAGCTTCAGCATTGGCTGGCTACTAAAAGTAGAGTGATAGAGAGAGAGAGAGAGAGAGAGAGAGAGATAGTGTTAGAAACAGTAACAATCTCTTTATAAGTAAACAAAAATACAAGCCAATAACTACATAGGCATAAATTGTGAAGTATTTTAAAATAATAACAAATTGCAAGTTCGCAAACAGATTAAAGCAATTGAAACGAGTAAATGAGAAATGAGTAATATAAATGAGCTTAAGCGCACACACATTCTCTATAGAATGTGACCTGATAACAACAGCTCAACAACTATTAAACATATAATATAGATTGTTTATAACTATGGTTTGCTATCAGGTAACATTCTACATACATCATTTATATATAGTATACTATTGTTTCAGTTAAGAAATTGTAAATAATATATATATAACACAGATACGACTGCTTTCTTATATACATTCTACTTAGATTATCTGTATAACACTTACTATTTTGTCATTTTCTGCAACGACTCAAAGTCCGACTCATCACCATGGTATTCGATGTGTTCCTCATACTTCTCAATGCTATCAAAGTTGCATTGACAAATGTAGCAACCCATCGAACTTAATTCAAAGTCCAAATCGCGATGTTGCTTTTGCGTCTTTTGATATTTCAATGGAATTGACTCGGCCTCCTCATCCAGCACATATTCTGAGAAGAAAAACAAGACACCCCACATAGAGTATCCCATAAAAAATCAATAATCAAGCGGAAGGATCAAAACGTATGGGTATAGCTTACTTTGGGCGATGGGACCATCTTGCGTAGCATCCGTCACATTGCTGACAGCAGCAAAATCAGTTTGTCGCTGCTTCTCGTCGATGGCATTATATTTCTCCCTTCGAAACTCCATTAGAGCTACACTCTTGATGCGGTAGTTGGAATCGCCGCGCGGAGTATTCATCAAGAAGTTTGTACGCTGCAGCAGTGAGCCGATCTAAAAATAAATAAATAATACACACTATTATTGATGACTGTTCTAAGCTTTAATGTGTATCTAGAAAGAGGAATCCCACGAATAGAGCAGATGAATTTTATATACAAAAGTAAATTTAGGTGGGTTTCGCCCAAATTTTATTTGGGATTTTTACTTGATGAATAGCTAAGATATAATTTTAAATAAATTCATTCAAGCAACACTAACTTGGGTATGGGATAGCCGGATAGGTCAATCAGACTAGATTCATTGAGCTTGTCGATGATACATACATATGCATAATTACATATGTATGTATGTATGTAGATAAYGAAATCTGTCTGTTGTATACAACCAGTATATCCTGAATTATCATTTTTACGGAACAATAAATGAAGACATATTGGGAAACAATATATTGATGTATGTATATATTTATAGTAGCAGAACTAATTTCCATTTGGCACGTTAACACAAATTGCATGCATCTATAACAAAATATAATTAAGACGTACATATCTGTTCATATATACATACATATACCCATGTGTAGTTATACATGTATACAAATCATATGTATATTTATATAGCAATAACAATAGAATGTAGAACCGGCTTAGCGCACATGGCTGAACATTTACTATACACAAATTTAAAAAATACAACTAAGAGAGGCGACTATAGATTACAGTTTTGTCTGGCAAAACCCAGAGAGCTGCCTGCAAACATATGACTAACCGATTTTCACATCTACGATCGGTTGTAGAGAGAGATAGAGAGCTGGGTTGAGTTGATAAAGCAAGTTAGGTATAGAAAATTGAAAGATTTGCAAAAAAAAAAAAAGAAAGTGATTGTTTGAATAACAAAGAAAGCACAAATAGATATGAATGTTCTTAGTACAGTGTGCATACAGAATAATAAGCCATATGAAACTAAAAAAAACTCTAGTCATTAACTGATCTCAACTAATATTAATTATAGAGCAAATTAGAGAGATCCTAACTTTTTAATGCAAGATTTGTCAAGTAAGAAATTAATATTAACAAGCTACATGAATGAGTCTATATAGATAGTCTATGGATAGCAACTAAAAATGAAATTCACTATATCGACTGTGGACTGCTACTTTGTTATATGTATGTATTTAACGGTGGTCTGTAAATCTTCGAAATTCAAAATTATTATCGGTTAATATTTTTTATCAATAATTTAGTTCATTATATTAACTGTTGACTGTATCTTTTTTATGTAATTTTCGAAACAGGAGAATATAATTTTCACAGACCACCCACGAAGAATATATGTAGCACTTGTCTACTTACATTATAAGCCCCATTTACGGAGAGTTTAACGTGCAGCTCTGTGCTATTGGGCTCCCGTAGCAGATGCTTTTCGAATTCCCTTCGCAGCGTTCGTTTATCCACGAACCAACTGTTACGCGCGCTCACCACCTGGATCTCAGCCATTTTTAGCAGAAAGGAGCCAATTAACTCGCGCTCTAAGGTTATTTTTTTTTTTTTTAAGAAATTAATTGAATGCAGAGTTAAAAAATAGTACAATAAAGCATAGTAGTTAATGCACTTACCCCATGGCTTGCGTTGCTGTGTGGCTTGGAAATCAGCATTGTTGCTGTTGTGGTTGTTGGCTGTTAAGTTTTTGTTGTTTAAGTTTACAAATGATGTTGACGGCGGCGTCGCTGGCGGCGTCAAAATGGAAGGTGGCATTGTTGCTGTATTTGTTACTATTTTTAATCTATTGACAGGGATCGCCTTCTTTTGGCCATTGGCCTTTTTTTGAATTTTATTTTTTGTCATAGTAAATACGTACAAAGGGACGAAGATGATTTGCACTACTTACAAGCACGCACAGACGCGCACGATCTCTTACACACACACACACACACACACTGCACACGCACACCCACACTAGTGCACACTGACTCACAGTAGCAGTGCCAAAAAATAAAAAGAATTGATAGCACTCTGGATTCTGGTTTCTAAACTGTAATTAAATACGGATTTTGTTTGAGTACACAGCTCGACGATCGCATACACACACAAACACACACTAACGAGATTGCAATATTTCGCGAACATTTGTTTTGGCACTGAACAAAGAACAACCTGCGCACCGCAATGGTTCAACGGTAAATGGCAAAACTGCAGCTATCAGAGCTCTTATATATGTATGTACACACGTATATGCACATGAGCTTAGAATTACGATTCGATATTGATCTGGTAGCTGTTAACAGAAATCGAAGATGCTGATGCTGATTCACTCACGCTCTTGCAAGTGAGCGTTGTGCTCGGCTGATTAAGTGTGCGTCTGTGTGTATATGTGTGCGAGAGATGGATTCTGGGATATATGCGCGCGCGCTCATGTAACGGTTAATAACGGCAATATGCTCTTGTTGCCATACATAACCAGAAACAATTGTACATGCTTATGTACGTACACACATATGCATATACAACGCATATATATACATATGCATACACTTACCACTGCGAATTTTTGATTGCGATAAAAACATGCCACGCCTTCTTAAAATGTATTGTATATATGTATTTTTGTCTGTTTTTTTTTTTTGTAGGTATTAAAATGTTGCGTGTAACACGATTTAAAATATAACTCAATTCAAAATGTGAGTGTGATCTAAAATGCGTTCAGGTTGTGAAATAACTTGGTAGACACGTACACAACTTGTGGGTAAAACCACCTATCTGTGGATAAGGACCACCCTGAGAGCTCACACAACTGTAACGGGAAGAACCGACTTTAAACTAAATTGGTCTTTGTTAAGCAACAGCTATCAACAGGCTAAACAAGCGCTGTAGTGTGACCAGCCTGTGCATTGCTAACTAATCCGATGAACAGTATTTTCTCGAGCAGACCAGGTCTCACTGCACAAATCAATTTCGTATCTTAAGATGAAAACGGTTTATATTTATTTGTAAAGTTAATCAATCTTACATAACTAGTAAAAAAGTTTATAAATAAAATCATTTATTTTTTGGCCAGTTTCAGCTTCTCGGAGCCAAATATGACTCCCGTATCAACGAGCTTGCGTTTCATAGCAAACGGATTAACGGAATTCAGGGGCGAACGTTGCTCTCCATCCTTGCAGTCGCTTGCCTGCGACTCTGACTCACCAAATAAATTCTCCTGTGTATCCAGGGCTGTGGTTACATCTGGCGTTGCCGGACGAGATGCTCCTGCAGCAGCAGCCTTAAATAAATTTGGAGAATTGGAGAAACGCTTTAAGGCTCCCCGCTTCGAGGCACTCAGTTCCATAGCCTTAGGCGCTAATTTCGGCGTTGTAGTCTGCACTGGAGCCATCGGCAGAACAATGGTGGCCGCAATACCGTTGGCGCCAAGTAGCTGCTGGTGCTTGCGCGCTTCCTGAACTGCCTCCAGTTGCGGCAGCAGCTCGCATAGTCTATCTGAGAGGTGAATGCGTCCTCGTTTCGAAGCATATTTAACAGCTAGCTGGAGCAGCTCTGTGCAGGCAATAGACTCGATTAGCTCACGTGCCCGCGTCTCACACTCGCTACTGCAGGCCAAAGCAAACAGCTTTATGGCCGTCTCCTTCTGTATCTTCTCAGCGCCTTCCCACTGCATCAAGCTGGCTCTCAATAGCGTGTCCTCCAGCTCCGATTTCTCCAGCTCAATGTCACAGAGCGGCAGCTGCATGCGCAGCTCCTGCAGCATAGGACGTGGATTAGTCATGGGATAGGAGCTGCCGCGACAGAGCACAGCCTCAATAATCTGTCTGCGCTCTGAGAGAGCAACTATGAAGTAGTTATTAGACACACTGGAGCTCTGTTTTAGGGTGTCGCAGATGGGGAACCAGGCATTGCTGGCACGACGATATAGCTGCACCAGACCCATATTATCCGCAAAGCAGGGCGAGCCCACATCCGAAAATCCAAGCCAGTTCAGTTGTCGTCCCGGTGTCAAAGGCAACACAAGTTGCTCCACGCGCAGGCTCAAGCCACTCACATTAACCAGCATGGCAGCCAAATGCTGTTGACTCTGGCTGCAGCCGGCGGCATGATAAACGCACATCACGCTATTCTCATGTCCGGCCAATGCGACCACCTGTCCAGGCAGGCTCAGCACCTCGCGCTGCGTCCCCATTACGGTAAAAAGGCGCAGAAAGTGATTACTGGTGGCCACGGCAATCAGCTGACTGGTGGCCACCAGCGCCTCCACGCTTTCGCAGTCCGGCAGACTCAGCGACCACTCTTTGTTGCCAGCTGCGGCCAAGGCAATGACAACCAGCTTGCTGCTTTCCGTGGAAGCCAAAGCCAAGGCGCTACGACTGAGACTGGCCAGGTTATGTTGGTTGTAGTTGTTGCTCAGGTGCAGCGCATGATGCACGCTTGCATCGTGGAATTCCACATCGATAGCTCCGTCACCGCTTGGCTCGGTATGCGCTGTCACAATACCCACTTCGTTCCAAGCCAAATAGTGATGTTCCAAATCAACTGGTGTGGCGCCTGGCTGAAATGGAGCTTGCTGCTTGAAGAGCTTCAGCTGGGGAACAGGGGGAACAGTGGAGCTGCTGGCTATGGAGTGCTTCGACTGCTCGTCGTCTATTTCATCTGGCATATACCCCGATTTGCTCATCACTTTACGTTTCAGCTGCTCCAGGCTAACTCCATCGCCGTCATCAGGTTCCGCCATATCCTCATCGTCTCCACCCTCAAATTCAAATCCAGTGCCAGTGAGCAACTCATCCTGCTCCTCCTCTAGCTCACCATCTAATCCGCTTCGTGTCTCTTCTTCGCCCAGAAATATGGTGCCCAATTGTCCAGTAGCATCGCAAAAGGCCAGCTCATCAGCAATAGCTGGATTCCAGGCGAGGCACGTGATGGATTTGCAGTCGCTGGGAGGTGCTTCCACCGACAATGCCTTTCGGCGCACCACATCGAATATGCTGAGCTCCCCACTAGTGGTGCCCGCTGCCAAACGCTCTCCGTTCGGCGAGAATTGGCAGCAACTGTAGTTGCTAGAGACACGATCATCCTGAAGCTTATAGGCCACCTCCCAGTTTGAAGTATTGAGCACAATTATCTCCTTGTCTAGCGCATAGGCCAACTGTTCACCGCGCTGTGGCTCAAAGCTAGGCGTCCCGAACAGGCTAGCGCTTTCAAAGCTATTTACTCGCGGTAATCCTGATATACTCTTCAGCTCCTCGCCCGTCTCAAACTGCCAGACCTTAAGCAAACCGTCTCCGGCCACCGAAGCCAACAGATGTCGCTCAGCATACAGATCGAGAGCTAATACAGGTCCCTTGTGCCCCTCCAGCGTAGTCTCAGCTCCAGCATTGTCACCCTTCAGCACTTTTATATGTGTATCCTCGCTGCCTGCAGCTGTAAAGGAACCACTGACTCGTAGACACGTAACAGGTGCGGTGAAACGCATGAGTATGCCATCGCTGTCCATGTCGGGAAATGTATATGCGTGTACCGTGTTGCGGTCTGTGGAGGCCAGCAGTCGGCTTCCCGTGTGCGCAATGCACATAACAAACTCGCCCAAACAGGTGGAACGGGGATCATCGTCGCTGATGCAGGTCCAGTGGCGTATATCGCCATCAGTGCCGCACGTGATCATGAAATCACCTTTAGGCGTGTACAATAGTCCAGTGTACCCATTAGTGTGCGCATAACGCAGTGAACTGCGCGTAAAACTCATTTTTGTATTATTATTTATATCCGAGATTTGGTTCAGCCTCGACCTTCGTTTCCTAAGCGTTTCGCGCCAAAACGTAACTAAGCAGTGTTGCACAACGTCAAACGTCATTTGCAGCACTGACTGGCTTGCCAGTCCGTGTATTAGTGCAAGCAAATGACGATTTACTTTTGCTCTTAAATTAATTTATTTATCTCTACACAGACAAACTTTAAATCAGATAAAATATATATGCTTATAAATAAATTAGTATATACCACACTCACCATCCCCAACTTATATGAACAGCGTACCTGGCGTGCAATTTATCAGCTGATTTTATGGGACGACGATAAAAATAAAATATAGTGATTCAACACTGTGCAAAGAAATATAAATAATTACAAATGCATATGTAACAACGTAAACCATAAAGTGCACAAAGTAAACAAAAAGTAAAATTTAATTATATCAAATATTATTATATACCGACTTTATGTCATGGACCCCACATAAACACAGCTGTTTCCCTATAGTATTGTTTTCTTAGCTGCTGCCGGCATTACGGCACAATATTATTCAATAATGCTCAAAACGTGCGCGAAACATTTAACAAACAATTATGGCACAATGCGCTGCCTTTCGATGCAGCCATCGCACATGAATATTTTCGACAGAAATGCAAAACGACTACAAAAAGAAAGAGCGGCACTTAAGTAAGATACTCAACAAAGTTTCATCGAGTTCTTTTATAGCAATTTATTTCCCAACAGCCAAGATGTGGCGCTATATGATTATCTTAAGGAGGAGGTGGGCTTCCGTTTATCGGATCGTGTGTTTGACATAAAGCGCGAATTCAAAACCGCTGCCGATATAGGCTGCAACCGTGGTTATATATCAAAGCACATCCTCGCCGAGTGTGTGGAGCACCTGACCTTGACCGACACAAGTGCCTCCATGCTGGAACAGGCGCAGGGCACACCAGGGCTTCGAATGAGCAAATTACTGCAAGACGAGGAGCAACTGGATGTGGGTAAACGAATGAAATTTATGCATTAAACTATTGTTTTTATAATTTGTTATCCGTGTAGTTTGAAGAGAACTCCATGGACTTGATAATATCTAGCTTGAGTCTGCACTGGGTCAACGATTTGCCTGGCTGCTTTGCGCGTATTAAACGTAGCTTAAAGCCGGATGGCGTGTTTATTGCTTCGCTATTTGGTGGTGACACGTTGTACGAGTTGCGTTCCTCGTTGCAGCTGGCGGAGCTGGAGAGAAAGGGCGGAATCGCTCCTCACGTTTCGCCCTTTACTCAAATACGTGATATAGGCTCGTTGCTCAATCGAGCCGGTTTTACGATGTTAACCATAGATACGGACGAGATAGTCATCGGCTATCCCAGCATGTTTGAGCTGATGTGGGATCTGAAGGGCATGGCCGAGAACAATGCCGCCTTCAATAGACCCGCCCATCTAAGTCGCGAAACTTTAATGGCAGCGAGTGCTATTTACAAGGAGCTCTACGGCAAACCGAACGAGGAAGGCGTCCCAGCGACATTTCAAATTATCTACCTGGTGGGCTGGAAGCCGGGGCCCAATCAGCCGCAGCCACTGCCCCGAGGCACTGCTGACGTATCCCTTAAGGATCTGGGCAACATATTCGAAAAGGGCGGCAAAATTAAAATCGATGCCGAATCTTAAGCCTATGAATATTTGCTAAACAAATCGTATTTATGTTTGAAACGCACTTCAAAAATTTAATTTACAATGAACTTGTAACTTAAATAAAGTTAAAATAAACTTATTCTGAGAAATGTAAACTGCTAATAAGACGAACATAAAGTTCAGTGCGCACTAAACTTAATTTACGCATGTACTTAGTTGTTTTTCCACTTGTTTTTCAAATATATAAATTACTTAAATTTAATATGTATATATATAGTTGGGCATACAAAACAATACATAGATATATTATGTAGATAATTATAATTATAAT